GGAGCGCGCGTTCCTTCGGTGCGACACTGAACGCCTTTCAGGCGCGGCGGAAGAAACTGACGGTGCGGCACCGTCTGTTGACGGGCAAGCCACCAGCCTGGCTCAATACCGTCCTTTTCCCTTGCGCGCATGTGCCGGCCAGACGCTTCGTGCCGCTCGCCGCACTCTGTTTCCACTTTGCTCGGCTAGTAAGGTTGCTCTCTGCTCGACGCGGGCAGAGCGAGCACGAATGCCGAGGGATCGACGCCAGGGGTCGAGCGAGACATGTTGACTGTCGTGGGGGTCACCGGTGGCCGGCGCATGAATTTTTTGGTGCCGCCGCTCGGGGTCGCCGGTGATCCAATTAAAGGGAATTGCTGTAACTCGTTTCGTTAAATAATAATCGATTCGGGGGATTGTTTGCTGCGTTATGAAGCGATATTTGGTAAGATGAATGTGTGGAGGTAGCTTAGCTGGAATAAATCGTTTGTACATTTGTCGCGTTATGGATAGTTCACGGATAGTTTGTGGAGACTCTAATGTTTTAATGTTGAAATTTTCAGTTGGTCGTGAAGTGACTGTAATTCTATGGAAGTTTATAAAAGTGTGACTGATACGTGTTCTAAATATTCTAGACGTGTAACGTTCGTTTCATCGAATTCCAGACGTTCGGACGGAATCTGGAGCAAGTTCTTAGAAAGATTTTAATAAACTTGTATACTTAGAAACTTGAATTTATAATTGTATTTTGAACTTCCAGTTTTAAGTTTTACATTTTCCAATGACAAATTGAATATAACGTTTCTCTGCACGGACCGGAAGATATATAGATACTCTGAAGAAATGTTTCTTATAGTTCCTAGGTGTGGATTATTTTAGGTCCGAAAGAAATATATCTTTTGGAGCACTGGTTGCGGGGAAAATCGTAAGATGTGGCCGGGAAGTATTATTTTTATATTTTCCAGGTGAAACGGTGTGCGTGTGTGTATATATATATAACATTCGGAAAAATAATATCTTTTAATCCGGGGATCGAGGGGAAACTCACGTAGAGCTCGAACTGCGTAGTAACTCGATACGACGAATTTAAATTGCTGCATCGAATGGAACAGTTTTTTTAGCCTGGATATCTGGGTCATAAATTTTTTACGATGCTAACAATTTTATTGCGTTTACTTTCAGAGTCTCTCTACCGCCTTCTGAATATTTCATTCACGCGGGGAGTTTCTTCGCGATAAAGTATGGCCAATAGTTCGCGTGGCGTTACTTGCGTAATTAATAAATCGCCAGGAGGAATAATATTCCTAGAATCGATGCACATAAATAAAAGAGTAGGATCGATCGATCATCGGAGTGTCTAGGAAATACTGATATCGCACTCTCTATTGGTACACGCGAATGATTGCACAAAATGTAAAATAAACATTTATAAATAAATATACGTACCAGCGCGAAAAGGTCGTCCGTGAAATGCAATGTTTCGAGTAAATTGCTCGTACTACGTATTTAAATAACGTTCAGTTGCGTCACCAGCGACCGAACGCTTCCGCGTCTGGGTACTTACGGTATCATTCCCCTTCGAAGTTCCGAGGAACCGAAATTATACCAGTTGAGTGGGAAGCTTGTTTTGGGCACAGTATATTTAGATCCTTGCAGTGCATAGTAATTAGAAGGCAGGACGATTTAAATGCTCGAGCATCATCGACGCCCGAACATTTGAACCGGTACTGTTGTAACGCCCTCTCCGGCTTTGGCGGATGCAGTAGCTTGTGAAATCAAGCAAGCTTTTTGTTTTATTTCACGGACGCGTGGGTTCGTATTCAGGCCACGGGTAATCAAAATTGAAACCTCTGTACGGCTGCACTTTTACCAGTCGAACGTTACTTTCGTGTCACCGAGCGCATTGTTGTCGAATTTGTCAGACACTCGCAAATCGAGTGAGGTTAGAATAAGAATATAGGCTTGCTAGGTTTGTCAAACCGACAATTTGTTTGAATCAAATTGAATTAGAACGCTGTTGTACATTTCTTTAAATGAAACGTTTATTAACTATAGCGCCCATTAAGAGGTGATTCAAAGAGTTTTAGAGTAATGTTTGTCGATCAATTAATGAGTTAATGTTTATTGGAAAATAAGACAACGAAAAGTCACGTTAAGCGAAATTTATGTTACCGGTTTGCGTTCGACGCGGAGAGGAGTTCTCGTGTCGAAGGCGTTAGACTCGAACCGGTTCGAAACACGGGGTCCGAGGAAATTTCTAAAGGTGTTTTGGTAGAGAATGGAAGTCTGAATCAGACGATATAAATATCCTTCCTTGTGAATAGAGTAAGGTCGGCTCCCTTGCAGACAGGTCATATGTAAATAAACATGCCACTCTGATCCGTAGGCAAGGTAATAAAAATAAAACAGGAACGTGACTGTATTAGCGAGTCGGCCGGGGTGAAAGATCAGACGCTTCTTCGTTAGTTTTTTACCTTTTCCCTCTGACAGTGACTGATCTACGTGTACGCGGACCGTTCTCGCTGATAAGGATGAACCGTTGCTCCAGTGGTCATATTTTCCGTGTCTGCTCTTCGCGAGGAATTAAAAGAGAAATAAACCGACCAGCGCGAAACGAACCTTGGGATTTACACGCTCTCGAAAGCTAGAATATTACAGAACCAAAGTGTTAAACTATTAGAACACTAAAACACTGAAACGTTGGAGTATTAAAATACTTATTCATCGATAAAACTATTATAAACCGTTAACCATTTAATCGAGTATCAATTAGTATATTATAAGTCTCACGGAATACTATCTTCAGTGTTGCACGAGCCGCTGCTCCGAAGTACGCTGAATTTAGGACCTATTTCAGGACTTAACAGAGCGCGAAACTTTGTCGCTAAACCCAGTTAGTTTGAAACACGACGTCGTCCTTAATCTTCGTTGCCTAAGAGCTCGACAAGTTAACTCCGGCCCGAATTTCATCAACTTCCCGGTACGATATGTCAGGATTCGGTGCGGGCGACGAGAGGTTCGGGAAACTGCTTATCAGCCGAGCACGCGGCGCGAGTGGAATGTCGATTGCGTTCCCATGAATTCCGTCGAGCCACGTCGTAGCGCTCTCCGTGGAGGTTCGCGTCGGTACACGAACCCATAAACCATGGTCGATAAAGGCGAGATCACCGTTTTGGAAAATGCGATGCGATTGATAACGGGAATTCCGATATCGAGTTTCGGAATCGATCGTTCGCTCGAGCGCGTCGAAAAGTTACAGGACTTTCAATTTGCTCCATGGTTCGACTGAAAGGGGATTCTCCCATCGGTTCGCTTCAAAGGGGCTCCTGCTTCCCCGCTTCCACTTTAGAGGTCGATACAGGCTCCGAGCAATTCCTTTTCATGGCTCGTTCTTGTCGACCGCTTTTCTTCTGAAGAATAGCCCGCGCGCAATCAAATGGCCAATCAATTTCCAGAATGCCCTTGTTAGCGGCGGGCGGTCGCTCATCGATGTTCGATAACTTTAAATTTCATAGGTGTCCCTCGGCAGACCGCGAGATTTACGAAACGATTCGTTCGAGTGATTCAGTGATTTGTTCGGAAACGACTGACACTTGCTTTTGAATTATCACGGCGATCATAAGCCTGCTGTGTTCTTCGGATCTACTTAATCATGTTTTTATTTTTATAACACGGACTTGTTTGATCCTTTCTAATACATTTGCGGTCGTATCTGGTTAGGGGTATCTTCAAATTTTAGAATAGTAGGATTTTGTAACTAGATTATGTATTTCTGTATTTCTAAGGACCATACGGAGGTTAAGTACTATATAACTAATGCCTAGATGCACAATGTGTCTAGAAAATGCGATTATTAACACTAGGTTTACTGAACGCGTAAAATTGACGCATATTGGATATTAGAAATATTATTTTGTAA